AAAAAAAAAAGAAAAGAAAAGAAAGAAAAAAAAAAAAAGAAGAAAAAAGAAAACAACCAAAAACAAGTATCTAAATTCTAAGTGTTTGGGTGAATTGCCACAAAGGGTATGCCCTTGTGTAACCAATGCCTGGGTCAAGACATTGAACCTTAGGGTTAGGGATGTGTGGTAGAATGCTCACCGAGTATGTGCAAGGCCCTGGGTTCCAGCCCCAGGATTGGAAGGGAAGAAGAGAGGAAAAGAGAAAAGGTGGCGGCGGGGGGAGAGCAGGGAGAAAGGAGAGGGAGGGAAGGGAGAGAGAAAGAGAAGAAAGAAGGAAGGAAAGAAAGAAAACAAAGAGAAGCCTCAGTTACACCCTCAGAGTCCCCTTGGGCTCCTTGCTTTTCTTAACTCTTCCAAGGATCATCACCCCCCTGCCAACACCAGGACCCAATTGTGCCTGTTTTAAACCTCACCCTGCTGTACTGAAATCTGGAGCAAACGCAGTGGTGCTTCCACTGCTTCCTGGTGGTTCCCAGCCGTGGCTTTGAAAACCCCACTGCTCCTGTCTGGTGTTTCCCTGAGGGAGCAGCATCAGTCTAGCACTGGTGGGTGGGGCAGGGATGCTAGTCAGACTTTCAGATGACCCCAAGGCCACAGGTTGGGTTCAGGAAGCTGATTTCCAATCTAGGAATCAGTCTCAAAAGCCTGGTGACTCTCACTCATTGACTTTTTTTTTCTGGTGCTGGGGATTAAATCCGAGGGCTTCACATGTGCTAAGCAGTCACTCTACCCGAGCTGTACCCTTAGCCCCGTGTTTGACTTTCTTAAGAATGTGGATCCCTTTGAAGACCTGATGAAAACTCTCTAAGAAAAATGCACATCTGCACAGGTTCACAGATGCCTGCGTCCAATTTCAGTGGGTTCCCAGATCCCGAAGGCCACTCCAAGACCCCAGGTGTGGGGAATGGTCATTGTAAATGTCTTGGGAGAACGGAACGGTGACTGCCTGTATGAGGTCACACATCTCCTTTTCTGTGGTGGCTCAGGCTGTGCCAGGTAGCTCTGTAGTTAAGGTCAAGAGAGATACCATAAAAGTTCTCCATTATATGCTTGATACTCCACAGATTTATCTCTAGTCTCTACAGCAACCAGGCAGAGGTAAGGGCTGTTTTCCACTTTACTGATGGAAATTACGGCTCACAGAAGGTAAAGACATTGCCCTGGGTCCCAGCCAGTACCAAAAGTGTAGGATCTGGAATC